AAAACCAGAGCACTCATCTCCTCATTGCCACTTAGTCTGTTCTGCAGTGTGATGCAGCTGTCATCTTTGAAGATGTTCCATCTACATTTTTCCAAGAATGAATGGCAATAGTACTGTCTCAGTCTGCTCAGGCTGCCATAAGTAAATGCCATAGATGGAGTGGCTTCGACAACAGAAATTAATTTTCTTACAGTTCTGTACGATAGACATTCCAGCTCAAGGAGCTGGTTGATTTAATTCCTCCTGAGAACTGTTTTCCTGGCTGGTAGACAACTGCCTTTTCAGAGTCCTCAGAAGATGGGGGAAGGGCCACTGAATGCATCACAAGGGCCCTAACATCATGACATAATTACCTCCCGTAGGTCCCTTCAAAATATTAATACCATCACATTTAGAGTTAAGGTTTCAACACATGATGTATTTTTTGGGTGGAGTGAGGGACACAAATATTCAGTCCATACATCCTGTCCTGAGCCTATGATTCAGATTACATCTCTGGCCTCATCAGAGAGAAGCAAATTCCTGTTTTTGAAAGTTAAAAAAAAAATGACTTTTTGGAGAGTCATACTATTACATTTCCAATAAGTGAAAACAGTTATAATTGGCAATAGTCATAAAATACTGTAATTGACAAGTCTATCTGTGTTGCTCCAAAGTGAGTCATCTTGTCCTCTGTCTTTGGAATTAACCCTTGTGGGTAAGTACTGGTCATCTGACTGGTAATTAAGCTATGAGTTTCAGTGCTAAAGTATCACTCAGCATTTCCAGAAAAATTCCAAGGAACACTGAGTGAATTCCCCTCATACCCTCCCACTCTACCCCATATCTCACAGTATTAGAGGCCATTCTTGATTCAGTGTATAAATAGAATTACCCATTTGTCCCTCGGACACAGATACTGGAGAGGGTGAATCACTAAGTAGGAGCATGTGATGATGAGATTCACAATCATCCCTTCCCATCAGCCTCATGCATCAAGGCTCTGACCTTGAGACTGTCAAATCTCTGCCCACTTCCCACACCAGCTCTACCAAAATTATGTTTTTAAAATGCTTAAATAATCATATCATGCCCTTGAGAGTACAGCCTAAGTTCCTCTCATGTCCTCCCACTCTTCCTTTATTCCTTCTTTCCATCCCTTTTGAACCTACCAATCCTTTAATCCTTCCTCTCATTTTCTGCTTGATAGAGAGCAACCCTTGTCAAATCCATGGACTTGAAAGATCAAAGTTTGGTTCCTGAGCTGGATGTGCAAGGTTATACTTCTCTCCTTTGAGTCGTATATGCTACTGTCCTATCTCAGACTTTGCTCTTCCCTGCACTAAGTCCTAAATGACAGTAGAGTCAGAATTCATAGTCAATGATTATGGACTCAATTTTCTTTCTTTTTGTTATCTTTTATTTTATTTTTATTGAAGTCCCAATGGTTTGCATCCTAGTTGGTGTTTGGACACAGAGGATCTCCCCACTCAGGCGCAGTCACCGTGATGTTGTACCCACCACCATAGCACCTGTCATCCTCCATCATAGTCCACTGTGCTCTCTCCCTACCTTTTCCTCATCCCTCTCCTCTACCTCTGATGCCTCAGGTCTATAGTCAATTCTCAAAGGCTAGTTTTAAAGTTTGTCTTTGCTGTTGGTTTCTCTATAGTAGACATGTAAGACACACCATCTGGTATTTACCTTTGTCCTGGCTCATATTGCTGAGCATAATCCCTTCCAGAGTCATCTCATATATCACAAATGGCATGAGTTTATCTTTTTGATTGCTGAGTAGTATTCCACTACGTATATATGCCACATCTTCTTGATCTACTCACCTGCTTTAGGCCACTGAGGTTTTTTCTGTATTTTTGATCACAGAGGTGAAACTGGACATATCAAGGCAAGTTATTTAACCTTTTAACCTCATTTTCCTCCTCTCTAATACCCATATGTCAAAATAAATGATATACAGAGGCTCAAGACACTACATGAGATATAGTGCTCTGTAAGTACTAGTGATTATTATGTCACTAAATAGTGAACACCATGAGGGACAAGCGCAGTCTTTTAATAATAGGACTACTAGATTTTTGTAGATACCCTTTCTCTGACTAAAGAAATTCTCTTATACTTCTAGTTTCTTCTTACCATTCCTAACTGTGGGTTTTTATCAGGAATGGATACTGAATTTTTCATACGGTTTTCTGGAGATTACCATACGGATATGGTGGGTCATTGTTGTTTTCTTCCCCCTCAAATGAATCAAGGCATGTAGAGTGAAGAGAGTCCACTTCAAATGGTTATGTACTCTGTGATTCCATTTATATGACATTCAAAGTGTTTTTAATTGCTCTAATACGGCATTCCTCTCCAACATCACCAAGTGTGCATATTTTGGTGAAAGGACTTGCCTGATTCTAGGTTTGGGCTGGGACAGTTGGGTCTTTTGTTCATTTGTGATTTTATTTTTCCTTTTGTTGCCTTTGTTGTTTTCATTTTTCCTTTACATTTTACTATCTCAGTATGTCTCAGGTGGATGATTCTATAACATTTTTAAGTAGTCCCACTGTGGGTGCTCCAAGGAGAATGTGAAAATGTCATACCTCAAATGCTCTGAATGTTGCATTCTGCTTTGTGAATAGTGGGTGCCCTGTCCACACGTTACTAGCAACTGCAAGGGAGTATTGACTCAAGAAAAGTTGGCTTCGGGGGTGGAAGATTGGGCATTACCTCTCTGTGCCACCTAGAAGGCTTTGCTCATAGGTAAGGAATGTGGCAACTTGCCCCATGAGGAAACACACTGCCCAAACATTTTCATGCAAGATCATTTAATATATTGCATGGGATTTGCTGAGTATGGCTAAGAAAAACATCTACATTTTCCTGGAAGGCATTTAAATTCTCGCATTTGAAATGTAATCATTTGAGAATCTTGAGGGACTCTGATGATGTGCTATAAGACAGGTTACAGCATCCAGCATACAAATAGTAGTAAAAATCCTAACCTGGACTCTAGGAGAGGTTTTAAATAAGGTCTTTGGTACTGCTGAAATATAGCAAAGGAGACAGCACTGGATTCGAACCAGATTTGGGCAGTGATGTCAGAGCAGCAATATTTTCTTCAATGATAGACTTTACTGAATAGTAACAGTGACCTGCCAAAAAGTATTGCTGTTAGTTTTTAAAAAATGAAAGTTTGGTTTGCTTCATAACTCTTAAAAAAAAAAAACTCGCTTTGCATTTTATCAGCTTTAAAGAACCTGTCTTCATAGTTCCAAATTCTCTTCTTCATCCTAAGCATGGATGAGACTGACTGAAAGTCAGCTAAGGGGCTTTGAGAATGGAGAACACACAGCCCAAGTGCTAACAGGGCTAGGAAGGAATCTGAGGTGATCTTGGAAGAACTTGTCCTCAAGGACTAGTCTCTCTCTAATATGTGGGAAAGTGAAAGGTTGGCTGGTGATGGAAAGGCAAAGGGAGCAAGCTGCATTTCCACGAATAAAAAGGAAACATGACTGAATATTAACTTTGACTGAGGTGTAAAAACTGAGGTCTCAGGGATCAACTTAAAAGTGGATGGACTTCCAGGTCAGTTAGCTCAACAAGAAGGGTATGTGGGGTGCACTGTTGTCCCAGGAGAGAAAGACCAGACCCTGGTTGTCTGCTACTCAAAGGCATGAACTCCAAGTAACAGCAGCACCAGTCAAGTAACCCCTCCTCATCACCCCTCCTCCCAAACTCAGGAGGGGCCCCATGCAGAAGACGTGGAGGGAAAGCGGGGCTAGCACAGGAAGACGGCACACCACTTGGGCCACATGTTTCGGAGCCAGCTCTAGACTGAACTGTGGGCAAGGGGAGAAGCTTTAAAATGAATGAGAGGGCCGCCCTGGGGGCGCAACGGGTTAGGAGGCAGCATTGTAAGGTAGCCGCAGCCACCTCAGTGCGAGTTCGATCCCGGCCAAGAAGTGACCCACATGGCATGGCAGCCCTCTCCTGTCTGCCGCTCCCCTCAGCAATGTACTTCTCAGTCTGTCAGTTCAGCTCCTCACAATGTCTCTGATGAATCCTCTCACCGCCCTTGCACCTCTGGCCTGTACCCCGATTCTGTATGCATAAATAAATAAATCTTTAAAAACTATATATATAAAATGAATGAGCGACTGCATTTTGATTTAAATTAGATGGAAAATGAGACCCAGCCTAAAAAGACTGAGACAGCACAGGGATCCGCCCAGGCACTAGGAGAAGGAAGGCTGGATAATGACTTCACCGGGCAGTGGTGTGAAAACAAAATTAATTTACTCCCATTGGAAACCTCACACTGTGCCTCTCCACTCCGGGATCTGAGCAGAATATGTTAAGGATGTACTGAGATATTAATTCCCTCAGTTACCAGGGCAACTGTGTGAGGCCTGGAGAAGGCTGAGCTCCCAGGAGGTAGCACATTCTGAATCTCTTTGGCCATAATGCAATTATTACTTTATGGAAAGTAATGACCTGATCAATATGGAGACCATGCCTATTGTACTTTGAGCAATCTAGAAAGCAAAGACTTGATTGGGATTACCTAAAGCAGTGGTTAGCAGTATTCCTCTCCATCGCCCAGCAAGCATTGTGAAGAATAAATAAAGCGCCTTTCTTGTTTCACCAAATGTTTGACTAACTTACAAAGAATAAGCCTCCTATTAAGTGGAAATGATGTCTTTTCCATCTACTGTATGTGGAAAGTACAGTATATGCATAATATATTGAGTCTATAAACTGATGTCAGAATTCCAGAAGATTCTTAAAGCCCCTGGAGGAATGAGTCAACAAAGGGAATTTGAGGAAGAGGGGAGTGCTAGAAAACTGAAGCAGAAGACATTTGATCTATTATTGAGCACAGGAGCTGTCAATCATTTCTCTTCAGCAAATCAGGTCCCAGAATGTTAGCTCACAACAATTAGCCAGCAAATTAGATCACAGGAAAAGAGAACACAATGGGTGGTCCTAAAGGAGCTCAAGATCTGAAAGGTGACGCAAAACAGGCAAACCCTTGAGAAAGATGTGGCTGCCTTACAGGCCAGACCCACCTGCCATTTTAGGATGATGGATGAAGATAAAGAGCTTTAGAGGAGGGTAGAAGTGGTGTTAGCTTCTGACTGACTTGCATGCTTCAGCCAAAGAAAAGCCGCACGGAGACAAAACAGGCAGAGAGGAAGGGATCAAAGCAAAGGTAGAATCTGGAATCATGAAAACTTCAGGAGAAGAGTCAGAGAGAAAGGCCAGCTCAAAGCCCACATGCAGCAGGCCCTAGTTACCTAAGGGACCAGAACAGTTTGGGTCTGAGCAGGAAATGGACCCAGCCCTCAGCTGGAGACAGACTTCAGAGAAGATCCCAAGAGGCATGGAATTCTTAACTCCACTTGGCAGATGGGCCAACCCAACCCCACCATGGGTTAAAAATTGTTTACTGTCAATTTATCAAAGATGACAAGGTAAGGAGGGGGTACTTTCTAAGCTATAATTTTACAATCTTTTAACGAGTTGCTTTCCCAACTGAGGGGATACTTTTCAAGCTCTGCCTACCAATAATTGGTGACTATAATCTAAAAATTCTATACTTTTTTTTGCAATTATTACCTTTTTTGAAATAATTTTTTGAAAATGTTAATGGAAGCCTTGCTAAACTTACATTTAGGAAAGGTCATGAGATTCTACACATGAACAGTCATAAAAGGAGAAACAGGAGTGGTCAGGACTCAGATGAGGGAGAGCTAGACTCTCAGATACCTGCTCACCCCTTTCCAGTACACAAGACTGGAAATGACATTTTGGAAAGCAACTGATTAATTGTCTCTGATATTTGAAATCTGAAGATCAGCCAACATCCTTAAAAATTGAGATGCTGTTGGTGGAAATTGATAATCCCCATTTTTCCTGATATTTTAAAGTTTATTCATCCCTGCAATAATGCCACCATTTATTATGCTATGTACCAAGCGGTCTTCTAACACCATTTAGATGGGTTGTCTCACTAAATCTTCATTTACTTTTCCTCATCTTTGAGGTAGGCACAATTTAATTTCCTGTTTTACAGATGGGGAAACAGAGGCCCAAAGAGGTATACAAATTTTTAAAAAGATTTTTAAATTTATTATTTGTGCATACAGAACTGGGGTACAGGCTGGAGGTGCAGGGGCAGTGAGGATTCACCAGAGACAAGGTGGGGAGCAGAACAGGTAGACTGATGAAGTACACTGCTGAGGGGAGCAGCAGGTGGGTCAGGAGAGGTCTATGTGGGTCACCTCTATGTGGGGATCAAACTAGCACTGAAGCGGCTGTGGTTGGCTTGCAGTGCTACATCCTAACCCATTGCGCCACTAGGGAGGGTTGAGGTACACAATTTGCTCATCACTGAGAGCCCTGTCTCCAGGGTGACAGCCTTCACTATCAGCACCTAAGAGCCAGACTCGAGCTTCATCTGCCACCAAAGGAGACGAGCTCAGTCTCTGTTTGGAAAGCAAGATACAGTCTCCGTGCTTGAGGATGGTATTTGTGGCCTATAGTAAGGAAACGAGTTGAGATGACTGTACCTTTCAGCCTATGGTTTTGTCATCATTCGAGGGGAAGTGTGAACACAATGGCACGGGCTTTGCTCAAAGGAAGAGAGTGGGTGGACTTGGAACTGGTGAAGTCAGCAGACATTTCCCTTCCATATGGAATCACAGTGGCATAATTTTTTTAATTACAAAAATGCAAGGATAAATTAAAGGAACTTGGATCATTTTGTGCTAGACAAATGAAGCTAACAAATTGGGACAGACTCTAAAATAGGAAATATTTTTCATTTTCTTCCCAGAAGAACTCGAAAATAGCAGTATATGTAGTTGACGTGATTCCCAGTAGAAGGCTAGGTAGGGTGAAATGATCCACGGGGCGCTCAGGCAGAAGGCAGATCTAGGGCCATCTTGAGCGAGTAATTTTAAAATTCTCATCTTGGTTTCCCTTCTGTTAGTTAAGTATGATGGAGTCGCCCGAAATTCTTCCAGTGGTAAAATTTTAACATTCCTAAGTTTATTTCAAAGAATATAAAAGTATTTTTAATATTAAAAGATCATAGAAAGTAACTTTTTTGGGGGGTTCATCTTTCTGCTGTCTTGGGGTCCTGGCTCTATGACTCACACTGAGACCATCTTTAAACACCTGGAAACCCAACATCCTTGAGAAAAGACAAGTGGAACAGCTTCTCCTGCCTGGAGATTAGTGTGCAGAGGTGGTAAGAGATTGTCTTTCTAGGAGGCCTTTGCTCCTGCATGAACAAAGAACTTGGAAGAACACTGGGGACATGAGTAGTTTGGTAAGAAAGAGGCTGTTTTGTTTTCTATTTTTATTTTTATTTTTTATATTCTTACATTGTTAATTTTTGAACAATATTTGATTTCTCTGCTCAGTGGAGTCCCTTTAGTTCTCTGACCCCCACAGCACCACGACCTCACCATGGTTCCTTACACTCTTGCCTCCCCTGTTTTGATCCCTCTCCCCCCACCCCTTGCTATATTCCTCACATCTATGGTCAGCTTGCAAGCTTTGTCTTTTTCCTGACACTTTGATCACTTTTTCTATATTCCACATATAAGCAAAACTATCAATATTTATTTTTTCCTTCTGACTTATTTCATGCAGCATAATTCCTTCCAGCTCCATCCATGTTGCCACAATGGCACAAGTCTTTTTGAATGCTGAGTAGTATTCCATTGTGTATAGATACTACATCTTGATCCAGTTGTCTGGGGGCATTTGGGCTATTTCTATATATTTTCTTGAAACAGATAGTGCTGCAATAAACATTGGAGTGCAGGATTCAGGAAGGGGCATTTTGGAGGTTTATTGGAAAACAAATACATGCTCTCAATGCAAAGACTACTTGTGCACAGAGGGTTCATAAAAAAGTTCTTGCATGGCCCTCCCTGGTGGCGCAGCAGGTTAAAGCACAGCACTAAGAAGCATAAGTCACTTCTGCATGAGTTCAATCCCCGCCTGCCCTGGAGGAGACCACATGGCGCGGTAGACCTTTCCTGACCCGCCCGCTGCTCCCCTCAGCAGTGTACCTCATCAATCTGCCTGTTCTGCTCCCCACTCTGTCTCTGGTGAAGCCTCTCACCCTCCGCATCTCTGGCTTGTACCCCGTTCTGTATAAATAAATAAATCTTTAAAAAAAAAAAGTTCTTGCAAAAGGGGCACACAGCCTCTGTCGCTGCCTCCCATGTTTACTTCATAACCAAGCCAGTGAGATACCGCCCCATTTAGTCCTGACTGCTACAACCTCTTGCTGTCCTTTATGAAGCTGAGTTCAGTTTGATCCTGGCTCTACAATAAGTCCGGAAGTTGACAATCGGTTGCTTAGCTTCTTGGGCATAACTGGAGGCCCTTTATTTTTTTCACACGTCAGTCTCTTTGGGGGGCTCCCGGGTTGAATGTTTTGTATCTGCCCTTTCTCTGCAGCGTCTCTATTCCCTGCTGTCATCTTTGGCTCTGTTGCTATGGGCGGGAATATTTTTTTGTCCTTGCTTAATAACTGCTTGGCTGCCAGAGGAGCTCATTCCTCATTGTATCGGTAGAGGATTAGCTGAGATGTTTGGGAGATATTTCCTGTATTAAGCAGCAGGGGAGAGTTTGCTGGGCCTGTGCCTTCTTTTGACATAGCGTCATACTTTTCCTTTTTTCACTTTCTCCCTTGGAATGTGCTGAGGCCAGTTATTTGCATCCAGAGCAGCAACTCCTCCCTGACACTTTGCACATCTCCCTCCCTTTCCAGGTGCCTTTGGATAAACACTTCTGGGGAGGCTGCAGGGGGTCCCAGGCAGCCATCTCTGTTGCTGTGTTCATCTCTGGGCCTCTGTGGTGTAGTGTATCACTAACCTACCTTCCAGACTTAATCACGTTTAAACCTATTTCATACTTCAGATTCTTTGACAACAAAATCACTGGCCATCTATGGAGCAACCATCTCATGAGCAATTAACTAGAATGTGGTATTCGGTGTTGCTTAAAAGATATTAAGTTTACAGCTCTGTCTGAAATGCTAAATAACTGCTTGGAGATGTTTGGCATTCTTTTATCTGCTGGTGACAATCCTGAAAAGACTGAGAAAAGCTATCCAGAAAAGTTACCAAGGGAGTGCTACAAGCAGGGAGGGCAATGCCTAGAGAAAATCAACAGCCAGCAGATCCAGGACCCCGAGAAATGCTTACTAGAGCCGACCAAGCCAGGGAAGAGCCAAGAAACGCCCAGAGGGGAGAAAGGCAGTCCCCTACCCCAACCTACAGCCGGTAGATAAAGCCAGAGAAGAGACAGAAGCAGCAGAGGGGGAAGACAGATCCACGCCTGCTGCCAGAGCTGGTAAATCTACACCCCAGGAACACAGAAGTGGTAAGGATTTAGAAACTGCTCCGGCACTGATAAAACAGCACCCCAGAAGTACCTGTGCCGGACACTCCAAAAAGGCATGGAGGGAGAAGCACCCTGCACTGCACTGAAGCCAGGAGTCCCTTGCTACTCCTGGCACCTGTTCTTGCTTTCCTAGACATGCTTTGAATTCTTTCATGGCTGTGGTTAAGAACCGAAGAACCCCCAAACAGGTAACATCTAGGAACGCCCAAATCCAGTAACAGAGGGTTGAAGCTTGCAATAAAGAAGAATGAAAGCTGAACAACTGACTGGATGTCATAACTCACTGTCTGGAGGCACTGCACGGGAATGGTAGGCTGGGCTCAGAGCAAGATTCTCTGGACTTGAACCTTGAGGTCATCGCTTCAAAACCCTGGGAAGCCGGGTGAGTCACCTCATTTCTCTTCCACAATTTTCTCATTGTAATATGGGAATGATTCTGATTTTAAAAAGTCATGGTGAATCTGAGAACACCTTGGAAGCTATAAGCATGGGGTATTAGAAGTCTATGAGAAGTTCTATGGAAACATTTGCAGCTGCAAAAAAGGGAGCTGCAAATGAGATGAAAAAAAATGTACAAAATGAAGAATAATGTAAAAATGTATTATGAAATTAAAAAGAGAGAACCACATCAGTCCTAAGAGCCGCAGAGGCTGCAGTGAAAGCCTGATGCAAATTGGTCTCACTGCAAAGTGTTTTGGGTTTTTTTTTTTTTTTTTGTCTTTCTAAATGTGGTTTGAATACTTTTCCATTCCAGGTGAGCCCTACTCCCATAAAAAATGCAGCCCCCCATGTCTTCTGTAGTCCAGTGACAAGAACCAGAACTTGTGAGCTAGGCCCGGCCAACTAGATGCCCGCCACGAAGGTGACCCTACAGCTGGTTCCTGAATACAACAATGATAGAGGATCCGGAGGTGGGATCCTGGTGCAAGCCCCAGGAGCAGAGATGTCCGATGTCCTGGGGTCACCTGCAGTGCCAGTCAGATTCCCAGAGACACCACATAGCCCATTATATAAAACTATACATGGTAGATTTCCAACATGCAGAAGCTTGGAGGGAATCACTTAATAAATCCCTGCAACCTCCTGCCCCAGCTCAGTAATTATCAAGATTCTGCCAACTGTTTCACTATTTTTTTTTGCCCCCTCTTGTTATGTTTTGGCTAAAGCATTTTAAGGGAAATCTAGGTTTTCATACTATTCCACCCATAAACCTTTCAGTGTGTATTTCTGATTGCTAAAGACTTCTGTAACATCACTATAACCATTACGCCATCCATAATGCTCAGCACCTCCCAGTCTCCCTTTCCGCTCAGATCAATAGAGGCTGCTTTGTCCTGTATATGAGACCCTGGCGAGTGTCCCCATCCCTCCCCCCCACGGCCACTGCCTTCGTCCCTCCCTCCCTGTCTCTTTCTAAGTTCTACCCGTTGGCCCCAAACTAGAGACTGCACGCTCTGAAGGTACTGAGAATAACTTCCACTCCCCTCTTTTCTTCCTTTTGTGCAGGAGAGGCTTGTCTGATGTGTGAATTGAAAAGGCACAGCAGGCCCTCCCTGGTGGCGCAGCGGGTTAAAGCACTGCACTGAGAAACTAAAGCCGCTTCCGCATGAGTTCGATTCCCGCCTGCCCCGGA